CCGCCGATCGCTGTGGCGGGGAGCCGCGACAGGGTATCCGCGCGCCGTTCCCGTTCCTTCCAGGGAAACCTCCTGCAGTGTTTTTGTGTAGTTTCATATGCCCACTTCCATCTTCCCCACCCCCGACCCCCTCCACGGGGGGAAAAAAGACATATTGGGTGTGGTATCTTGACATTTTTAGCTGTGAGGTAATGCAAGGATTAAAAATAATATTTTAATCACTAGTGAACAGTGGCTATTATGAGCTCTTTGGGAACAGAACTGTAGATTTTTCTTTTTAAATATTTATATAGAAGCAGATTCGGCTTACTGTAAAAACATCAACTAGAGAACACACACTTGGACCTTATTTTCACATTTGGAGCGCTCTTTGGGAATCCATGTTACTTTCATTATTCTGAAATGTTACCGAATGAATAGAATAAAATGTTAAGGCAGCCAGAGCTGAGATTCTTGACACATTGTACATTGCTGCTTGTTATTATTGGCATTAGTATTATTTTGTTCTCAAGTATTTTACTGATTATATCTTCATCTTTCCAACGTGGATACCCGTATTGTATGTGCTTTTGGGATTGGTTGGGCATGGAAGTATTTTGATAACTTTACTATTAGTCATTTGGCATCCGTTGGCTTTTCCTGTCATTGAAACAACTTTGACCTGACATCAGACTTCTAGGAGATTTGACTCTTGAAGTTCCTTGACATTTTACTAAGGTGTAAAGGGAAATTGGTGGTTATTCTTTTCTTGGGGGAAGATATATATATGTATACTATATATTTATAGTATATATATTTAATGTTCTCAAGACAGGAAATAAACCTCATGTTCCATTTGCAATTATTTTTCAAGCAGTCTGGTGATTTGCTTTTTAGACATTTTCAGGACTGAGTGCTACTTATAATTCCTAAATTTGGTTTAGGGTAGCCCTAAGTACTATGCAATGATGTAAATGAGTAAAGGGCAAAATGACAGCTTTTCAGTTACTTTTTTATTTTTAGAAGTGTACAGTTTTCACATTCAATATATTTCTAATGGCCATGTTAGACAGAGGTTACTTGTTTATTTCTATTTTAAAGCCTGGGAAAAGGGAAAAAGACTGGGAAAATACTGAAGGAAGATTTTAAGTTTCTGTTTCTGCTTTTGATGTTATTTAATACCTGTGATGACTATTATTTATTATATTTATGATAAATTCATGTAGTTAAAATAATAAGGAGTTGAATGTATTTTTACATGAATATTTTAATATCTTTAATCATTGTAATTTCTTTCAGAGTGAAAATAAGATGGATGCTTTTTCTCTAAATTTCTTTTTATTATGTTAGCTATTTGAATTCTCTAGCCACAAGCCATCTGGTTTTTGTGAAATATAGAAGGAGTAAAAGACCTTATGCTTAATCATACCATGAGCAGAAGAAATCTCATATCATAAGCTTTTCTGTGTTCTTTGTTTTTCTTGACCATGTTAGAATATAGATTCTCATTATAGTGACATGCTCATCATTTTGTGATCAGAACTGACAGAAATAAGAGAAAAAACGCTGATTTAAAAGTGAATTTACAGGGTCAGTAGTGGTTAGGTGCTGGTCTCTCGCATAGTTGACCTTAGTTTGAGCCTCAGACCTGGTGGCTTGAAAATCCCACTGGTTACACATGTAAGAGCCCACAGTTCAGAGAGGAGAAGGGACTGTAATGTGGCCATCCTCCCATGGTGTGTGTGTGGGGATTTCTCACTTTCCCTCTCTCTATCTCTTTGGGGCTAACAGATGGTGTGGTAGTTAATTCTCTGGACTCCCAGGTGACTGACCATGGTTCGAGTCCTGGACCTGGCCGCTTACAACTCATGCAGGGTACATGTGCATGCATGTTCCAAATTCCCAGGAGGAAAATGGAGGAGAAGGGATTGCGGGGTGGCTGGGGGTGATTTCTTACTTGTCTCTCGTGAGTGCACGTGCCCCTACGGCAAAAAACAAACAAACACAAGGTTTAAGTTCCCTTTTTTTTTTTTTTTTTTCTTAAAGAGATTTTTGCTATAGGGCACATATGCTTGCCAGAGAGACAGACAGAAAGTGAAAAGTCACCCCTCGGGGGTGGCCACCCTGAAATCTTTTCTCCTTTCAAATTTCGGGCATGCATACACAACTTGCCCAGTGTGAATTTTAAACTGCTGGGTCTGGGATTGGAACCACAGTTAACTCTGTGATAGTCCAGTGACATAGCCATTATGCCATCTGTTGGCCCCAGTGAACTTAATTTCTACTCAGTTAAAAAAGATCTTAGAAGGGACCAGCAGGTGGCGTGGTGGTTAAGGTGCTGGACATTCCCACATGGCCAACTGTGGTTTGAGTCCCAGAACTGGTAGCTTGTTTTCTCACTTCCATTCTCTCTCTTTCTCTGTGGTCAAATTAAAATAAATGATTGAGTAAATAAAATTAATTAAATAATTTTTTTTAAAAAAAGGTCTTAGAATAGTGTTCCTTAAAAGATATAGCTTAAAAGAGTCACTGCTTGGGGCTGTTAGGTGACATGATGGTTAAGGGCGCTAGACTCCCACATGGCTGACCATGGTTCAAGTTCCGGACCTGAAGGCCTCCTTTTTCACTTTCTCTTCATCTATGGTCAAATTTAAATAAATAAAAAAAAGTTAAATTAAAAAATAGTTCTTTAAAATTTTTTTTAAAAAGTCACTGCTTAAAAATGGTTTTAGTCTTCTTTTTGATGTATATATAAACGTATTTCATAGCACCAGGTGATAAAATTTGTGTAACTGGGTTTCAGAGCTGTAACAGTAGTAATAATTGCCAATATTTATTGAGCACTTGCTATGTACTAGCAGCTATTCAAATAGCTTTACATATATTTTCTCCTTTGATCTTCATGACAGTACTGTGCTGTAGGAGGTTATTAATATTCCTGTTCTATAGAGAGGGAGAGTAGAGAGAAGAGTTGATAAATTATGAAGCCAGGATTATAGCCTGCACGCTTACCTACCACATTAGTAATAACAAAAACAGCAGCAACAACAGCTTGTTTCTCACTCTCTTAATTGGAAATAAGAGATAGAGTGGTGCCTTCAGCAGATTACTTTGAAAAGAAACTTACAGGATATTGGTACTGCACTAGTTATGCAGATGTCATGGTTCAGAATGTGTAAAACTTTGCTTTGCTTAATATTGGAGTGGCTAATGTAGTTTCATTAAGCGCAAGGTGACTGGAGATTGACTGTGTGGATTTGGGATATATAGATGCAGAAATGGAATCCATAACCTGACAGGTGCAAATAATGAAGCTGAACAGGAAACAAATACTACAAGGCAGATTGATAACACATCCCCCTTTGCTGTCGTGGATAAATCATTTCACTGGAATTCTCTTTCACACTACTCTGTCTAGTTCTTTCTTTTTTAAGAAAGATTGTTTTGCTATAGGAAGCATGTGCTCACTGGAGAGACAGAGAGACAAAGCAAGAAATCACTTCTGGGGGCGGGGAGATGGCCATGCCACAGTTCCTTTTCCTCCATTCTCTCTGGAGCCTGGGCACATGCTGGGTCCAGCGGCTTGAAATTCACGCCAGGCGCACTACTTGGGAATTAAGCAACGTAACCATTACACTATCTGCTGGTCCCCTCTGTCTAGTTCTTGAACTCCTTAATTCTAAGAACAATTGGCAGGGTTGGTAGGTGGTATGGTGGTTAATGGCACTGGACTCCCACATGATCGATTGCAGTTCGAGTCCTGGACCTGGTGACTTGCTTTCTCACTTTTTGTCTCTCTCTTGCTGTCCCTCGCTGATAAAATTAAAATAAATAAATAAAGTTAAAAATAATTCTTAAAAAAAAAAAACAGTTGGCATATAGATCATTACAATTTATGAAAAATAAGTTGTGCTTGCTTGGTTTATAAGTCAGTTATTAATTTTAATAAAGAATACAACACAGGTATTTATTTAATGATTGGCAGCCACAAAAATCTTAGTGCTATGTAAAAATAAGACTTACTCCATTCTGTGTGTCTTTTTCTGGGTCCCAGGCTGGAGGAAGGGATAATACCTATCTGTGGAAAACTTTTTATGTCATGGCAATGGCAGAAGTGTAAGAGGACAAGCCTAATAGCACCAGCACATTTCCAGATTCTGTTTTATAATTCATTGGCCAACTAGGTCGTATAGCTAAGGCCAAAGACAAGGGGTACTGAAGTATACTTGCTTATAATAAGGTTAATGTAGTATACAGAGATGTTATATTATTGCACAAGAATGAAGAATTGAAATCCTCTGTCTATTACATATGATCAAGAAGATGGTCTAGGAGGGAGCTTCTCTCACCATTTGAAAGGGGACAAACTTTTTTTTTTTTACTAATACTTTATTTGTTTATTTTAATTTGACCGGAGAGGGACAGAGTGAGAGAGAGAGAGAGAGGTGGGGCGGGGGGTGAGAAAGCAAGCCTCCAGGTCCAGGACTCAAACCGTGGTTGGCCATGTGGGAGTCCAACACCCTTAACCACCACACCACATGCTGACCCCAGAAAGGGGACAAACTTTTAATTAGGCCCTCACCTAATTAAAATTATACCAATTTTACTCTCTCTCTCTCTTTCTTTAAGATACATTTATGCTATTGGGCCTGTGTGAGAGACAGAGACAGAGAGATAGAAAGTGAGAAATTAACGCCCAGGGGGGATGACCATGCTGCAGTCCCTTCTCCTCCATTCTCCTCTCGGGATCTTGGGCACACATGCACATGTACCCGATGTGAGTTTCAAGCCACTGGGCCTGGCACTTGATCAGTGGTGGACTACGTGGGAGTCCAGCAATGTAACTGTTTTTTTTTTTTTTTTTTGAGAGGTTTTTGCTATAGGGCGCGTGCGCTCGCCAGACAGAGAGA